GGATGTGACAGTTCTGTGTGTTGTTCCTTACCAACCTGCCCCCTTTTTCGCATGTACTGCCCTGTAAACTAACCCCCCACCAACCACAGTGTGCACAGTGAATAAAGAGCCTCTTGTCCTCAATTCATGTATTGTTATTATGCTAACAAATCCTGAACAGAGACAGCACCGAATGGCAATGATAACCAGGTAAGGGCCTGATAACACAACGAGGGAGGGGCAGGGACATACGGCTTATTACAATCGCTGTGGGAATGACAGCTTTCTGCTCCATGAACCATCCCCTGGAGTTGAGTTCAAGGGATAACGGACCCCAAACACACACATTTTAGGACATCTGGGAGAGGAGGATATGGAACTTGGTGAGGAGGGCAGCTGGTTCATCATTGGGTGCAGCGGGACTCTAAGGTCTAGCTGCCTTTCCTGAACCTTAACCAGATGCCTCAATATGTCTGTTTGCTCCCCCATAAGCTGCAACATCTCCTCTTGCATGTCACGCTCTTGTTCCCTGCATGCTTTCCTGCCCTCTTGGCCAGTGTGTATGCTCTGAGAGTGTGAACCTCCATGCATGGAGCTGAGCCCTGTCAGCCTCATAGGAATGCACCAAATCACAGAACATGTCTTCCCCTCTCCGCTTTTTTCGCCTTCTAATCTGGGACAGCCTTTGTGCTGGAGTGGAGGAAGCACCCACAGACAAGGTTGCAGCTGCAAGGGAAAAAAAACTCCACAAGGGTAGCCTTACAGAACATATATTGTTGAAAACAGAAGGTTAACTCTTGCAATGAATGAAACACTTCACAGCAGTAAATACATTCCCTTAGGTACTCGGCCAATTTTGTGTTTTAAAAGAAGAGCCTGCCAGTAAGGTACAGCACACGGCAGAGCACTGGGCAGCAGATTTCGGTTTGCAGGCAGGCATGGTGAGCACACACGAAAGGGTAGGCAGTGTCAAGACACACATCGGGACATTTTTTGGTGGGGAAACTCTTGGCACATAAACAGGCTTTTCTGGGGAGCACCCTTTGCATGGCTGGACTGGCCACCACTGTATCCCAATTGTTTACCTCAAATTAAACAGTAACCACAATTGCCTTCAACCCCTGTAGTGTGATTACAGGTGTGCACTCGCAAAAGGTGCCTTCCCTCCCATCACAGTCCCACACCAGTGGATCCTGGGAGGGGATTGGCTCCAGAGTTAGGAAAAAGTCCTGACTGTCAGAGAGAATGGATCCTCCACTTGCCTGCTGCACATTCTCCTCCTCCTCCTCTTCCTTAACAACAATGTCCTCCTCGTTGTTGCCAGTGGCTGCCTGGGTCCCCTGGGAGGTATCCACGGAGAGTGTTGGGGTACTGGTCGGGTCCCTGCCTAGAATCGCATGCAGCTGCTCATTGAAGCAGCATGTCTGTGGCTCCACACCAGAGCGACTTTCACCTCCCTTGTCTTCTGGTACACTTGTGTGAGCTCCTTTATTTTCACACGGCACTGCTGTGTGTCCCTGGTGTAGCCTTTTCTCCTACATGCCCTCTGCGATTTTGGCATAGATGTTAACGTTTCTTCTGCTGGTTCAGAGCTCTGCCTGCACAGACTCTTCTCCCCACACACCAATCAGATCCAGTGTCTCCTGTTCGCTCCATGCTGGAGCGCGTTTGCATACCTGTACAGCCATGGTCAGCCGTGGTGGTGAGCTTTCCACGCTGATCAAACAGGAAATGAAATTTGAAAGTTCTCGGGGCTTTTCCTGTGTACCTGGCAGAAGTGCTGAAAGTTGAAAGTGCTGTCCAAAGCGGTCACATTGGAGCACTCTGGGACACCTCCCGGAGGCCAATCCCATCAAATTACACAGCGTTGTGTCTACACTACCCCTAATTCGACCCGGGAAGGTCAGCGCTAGTGCTACTCCTCTCACTGAGGTGGAGTACAGGCATCAATTTTAGAAGCCCTTTAGGTCGGCAGAAAGGGCTCGGGAGTGTAGACAGGCACATTATAAATTAGACCCAACACAGGGAATGTCGATCTAACACCGTAGTGTAGACCAGGCCGTAGTCTCACTGACTTTAATGAAACACTGGCTCCCATGGGCCACATTTTCAAAGGTATCTAGGCATAAAGTTGCAGATGGTGCCCAATTGTGATGCGTGTTCTGAGCTTGATGAGTCATCTGAGGTAATTACCTGCCAGTCCTAAGGGTCCAGCCAATCCACAAGCTAGGGTCTAACCAAGTGACCCGCAAGGCAGGCGCCTCGTGAAAGCAGCCAGCACTGCCTGCTTGGTGTTGCTACCTTGCTGAGATACGTCCAGATGTGCCTGGTAGTTCTGATGGATTATCCTGCGCCAGCCACAGCCAGTCACCAGGCTGCCCTGTCACTAATGGGAGTTTCAAACAGTGCCTAAGAAGGTTAAGGGCCAGATTTGTAAAGGTATTTAGGCACCTAGTGGGATTTTCAAAAGCCTCTACGTGGTAATTCCCATTGGTTTTAGGCAGCTAGATGCTTTTGAAAATCTCACCAGGCACCTAAATACCTTTACAAATTTGGCCCTAAATCCCTAACTCCCATGTATTCCAAAGAGAGTTAGGCTCCTAAGCTACTTAGCTCCTTTTAAAAATCCCACTAGCTGCCTATCTGTAGCTATCGGTGCCTAAATGTCTTTGTTAATACGTCTCCAAATCCCTTAGGTAGCTTTGAAAATCTCAGCCTCTGTGTCTAACTTCCTTAGGCTCCTTTGAAACTGCCAGTCTTGAACTCAAGCTCTGGGCTCCCCGCAAGTCTGAAAATCTTGGCCCCGTCTTCATGTTGCCGAGGTTGGAATGAAGCTGTGGTAAGCAACCGCTTTCATTTCCTTGGAACAGTCCCTGAGAAGTCACATGGCTGCGGCACTCTCACAGCTCTGTACAGTGAGAAAGAAGAGGGATTTTTGTAATGAGGTGTAGCACTGTGTTGGGGGGATATACGACCACAGTGACACAAACTCCATAGAGTGCCGTACAAAAACCTGCAGGTGCAGGAAAAGCAATATTTCGTGGGGAAAAATACACTAACCTGAAATTTCAGAGAAGGTAACTACAGTACTTTTAATTCTTTTTCTCCCTACTTCCATGTAACCCCCAAGAAACAGTTTGAGCAATATCCTAAGAGCTGGAAAGAAGGTTTAGCTCAGAAGCATCTTCTGGAATGAAGTCTTTGGAATAATTCAACTACAGAATGATTTTTTCTAATTTTTGGCAGAAATAGGATACGATACACACTTCCTGGCTCTGGATAATGTGTCGTGTAAGGATAAAGTCCTGTTTTTAGTCCTCTGTCTTGGCATGTCCACGGAGGTCCTGTAGAGACCTATTCTTCAGCAGGCTACAAACAATGTGGATACAGGTAAACTCATCTTCGGAAAAGGGACCACTGTTACAGTAGAACCAAGTAAGTACAAAGCTTTGTATGTTTAAAATTACACTAGAAGAGAAGGGGAGCATTGCTACGTGGTTCCACACAGAAATGATTTTGCTTTCTGGGGTTTGAAAGGATTTTCTTGCCAGCTAAAGACTCAGCTCAGATGCATTGCACAGCTCCTTTGGACCTAACGGTCCAGATTCCCAACTTGTGCAAACCAGCACCACTCCATAGGCGTCAAAGGGCCAGATCGCTCCCTGGTGTAAATTGGATGTGGCTCTATTGGACTAAGTAGACCCGATCCCTAGCTGGTGCATATCTGCATAGCCGCAGTGGAGCCAGTGGTCTAGATCCTTAGCTCATATATATTGGTGTAGCTCTATTGAATCAATGGAGTTACACCGATTTACACTAGCTCAGGATCTGGTAATCTGGGCCAGATTTGGTGTAAAAATGCCTCAGCACCACTAAATGTCAGTGGATTTGCACGGTTTTAGGTCAGTTCAGAACGCAGGCCCCAGGGTTGAAGGCTGGTGCTCTAGGGAGGTTTTGCGATGGCTCTCTAACTCTGTGGAGTATGAGAATCTGATTTTCGGGAACGGCACCAAAGTGACTGTGGAACCACGTAAGTAATTCATCCTCAAAAAGAAGCATGCGTGTTTTTCATGTTCCTGAAATAATGGCGTAATAACCTGGGCCTGAAGTTTTGAAAACTGCCTAAGCAAATGGGATGTCCAAGTTCCTTCAGAATGAATGGGAATTGGGTGTCCAAATTGCTTGGATGATTGGGAAAATGTCACCCATGAAATGTAAGGGTCTATTTAGAAAAGTAATTAAAGTTTTCAGAGAGGGTTGGATCAATGGGGCAACTTTATAACTGGTTGCTGGATTTCTTTGTCTCGAGTTCTGTGGGTGTAAACTGAAGAAATTGGATTAGGTGGTGGTTGTTGGTTTTTGTTTTGGAAAGTGAAGCTCTAATTTAAAGGGAAAAGATCTGGGGTTTGTGAGTCAGTTCATGAAGTTCCAGAATTTCCCTGAGGGAGATGGAACATTTAAGTTTTTGTAGGGCCCATTTGAAGTGTGTTAACACATTGCCCTTGATCTTTGGGAAAGGCACTCAGCTGAGAGTTGAACCACGTAAGTATTTATCAAGTGTATTTTTGAGCTTTTGGGGAAGGGTATAGTGGTGGAAAGGTTGATTTTATTGTTCAGAAATATCCAGCTCTGTATAGAAACTGACAGCAGAACAGTCCTTGGTTGATGATGGGTAACATTTTCAAAAGCAGCCAAGGCTTAGATGCTCAAAAGTCTTATGTGCCTAATTTCCATTGAAATCACGTAGACACTTAGTCAGTCACATAGACTTTCAATGAGGCTTCAGCTCCTAAGGTCCAGATTTCAATGTATTTCGGTGATTACCTCTGTCGAAAGGTGCCTCGTAAGATTTTTCAAAAGCACCTAGATCTCTAACTCCTATTGAAATCAATGCATCTCGACCCGTTTGAAATCCCCACCAAGTGCCTATCTGCATCTTGAAATACCTCTAAAACCAGCCTAAATGAACCTAAATACCTTTACAAATCCAGCTTGTGGGTGCTGTTGAAAATGTTACCCTTGAAAACCCAATTCCCATGAAAATGACAGGATTTGGGTGTCCAAATTCCCTAGGCAACGTTATATGTTTTCAACCTTTTGCATACTTCATGAAGGAGATTTCCAAAAAATGCTGAAGGAAGATAGGAGCACAGTTCCCTTGGCACTTTTGGAAAGCCTCTCCTCCATGAACATAGCACAGAAAGCGTTCAGTCATGCATACAGCTCTATATTTAAAACGTTGTTGGGTGAGGTGGGTTAAGGAATAGTTGGATATAGGGAGAAGCTTAATATTCTGTGTGAATTTTTGCGTTTTTTAACAATCTTGTTTCATATTGATTTTTTTTTAGAACACCGTTAAAAAAAGTGATAAAAAATTGCCTTGAGGTGGGAGGTACAATCAATTGAGTTCATTAGTGAATCTAGAAAACGTGTATACGATTTGGGTCCTTGTGGCTGTTAAAACCCAGTAGAGTGAATTCCTAGCATGGAAATATCTGCTAGTCCAGCTTCATTACAATCAGACGGGCCAGATCTCCAGCTGGTGTCAATTAAGAGAAACCAGTGAAGCCAAATGCTCACCTGGTGTAAATGGATGTAGTTTATATGAAGTCAGTTGGACCAACTCCCCAGATCCCCAGGCCCTGGGCCAGATCAGCAGCTGATGTAAATTGACATAACTCCAGAGAAGTCAATCGGGTGGAAATCTCGGGGGGTGTAAATTGCCAAAGCGCTATTGATTTTACAGAACCTCAGATTACAAGTCCAGAAGGGGCCGTTGTGATCATTTAATCTGACCTTCTGTATATCACCGGCCACATAATTCCCCCAAAATCATTCCCATCGAATATCTCTTAAAGAAACATCTCATCTTGACTTAAAAATGGCCAGTGCTGGAAAATCCCTTGGTAAACTGTTCCACTGGTTAATTACTCTCAGTGTTAAAATATACACCTTGTTTCCAATCTGAATTTATCTAGGTTCAACTTCCAGCCATTGGATCATGTTAAACCGCTCTCTGCTACTTTGAAAACCCATTATCAAATATTTGTTTCCTATGTAGATACCTATAAACTGTGATTAAATCACCCCTTAACCTGCTCTTTGTTAAGATAAACAGGTTCAGCTCCATGAGTCTATCACTATCAGGCAGGTTTTCTCATCCTTTAATCATTCATCTTCTCTGACCCCTCTCCAATTTATCGACTCCTTCTTGAATTGTGAGCACCAGAGCTGGACACAGGATTCCAGCAGAGGTTAAAATAAACTGTCTATTCCCCCTTTCTGCACCCAAGGGCGGCATTGCCCTTCTGATCTCTTTAACCCAGCTATGCCAACTTGCACCACCCAAGAATCTGTCCCAGTGAAGTTGTACCAGCACCTAGCTGGCCGGCAGCTCCGCACTTTGATGGTGTCAGAGATCAGAGCACGTTTCAAGGTGTTCTCTGATCAGAAAGCAGCGCGGCTCTGGGGGTCTCTAGCAAAGCTGTGTTCGTGTAGCTAGGAAAGCACCAAAGCGGGCTAGCTAGGCAACCCGTTTTTGTACTGCCGCGTGTAACAGTGCCACAACAGCTCTTCTCTTCGGCAGCGGGACCCGGCTCACGGTGGAACCAGGTACGTATTTGTTATGCTTTAACGTCTCGGAATTATTATTGCCTGGGGCTAAGAATTGTTCCTATTCGGGTGACTACAGGTAGGCTCCCAGGCATCGACTTTGGCACCTCAGTAAACGGGGTGACTTCTAAAAGCGCTGCGCATCCGGCCGCTGCCGCGCTCCCCAGGCCCGTCCCAAAGACGTACAACTTTCGGCCGGAGCCGGTGTGTGTTCAGGAGAGAAGCCGCTTATCGAGCCTCTAAACAAGGATTCAGGGGCCGAGGGTTAGGCGCCCGAACCGTGGCCTGTGGGTTTATGCTGGGGCTTTCTAAAAGAGCCTAGGTGAGTTAGGTGCACAAGTCCCTCTGATTTCAGCACCTAGTTCTCTTAGGCACCTTTGAAAATCCCCGAGTTAAATCTAATCCGGAACCCTCACCTTAAGCTAACAATTGTCTGTGGGGTGAGCTCGGGCAAGTCCTAAATGCGATTCAGTGTCTCCATCTGTGAACTGAGGATAACGAGACCTTATCCGCTTTGGAAAGCTCTCAGAGACTTGTGTGTGGAGAGCGCGGTATGAGAGCGAGGCGTTATTTGTTACCATTATTGGTTGAGAACTCACCCCTGAGACCACCAGAATGTGTTGTGGGGCGGGGGTGGGGAATGGAAAGAACTGCAGTGCCAAAAGTTTTCCCTTGCAAATAACTTAAGACCAAAGGGATGCTGGAAACGTCTCGCAGTTGGCAGAGATTGTTCTTTAGGGTTGACATTTTCAAAGCCTCTTAGTGGATTTGGATGCTAAATGGCCATTAATATTACCAGGAATTATCCCAAATCTTTGAGAACCTCAACTTGGTATATACTTTATTTCCCATCAAGTGTTTTAGCCAGGGGTAAAATATCAGGGAGTATTTGTCAACCTTAAAAATACCTCCTTAAATGATCGCATTTCCTCAGTAGAGATCGCAGGTTCGTACACAGCCATTTCCCCCTTTGTTAGGAGAGGAACTAACTCATTTCAGTGGGAATGGAAGAGCAATTGGTCTGAGCCAGGTGTGTGCTAGGGACATGCTGCAGGTGCCCGACCCAGGGCTGGGACTCGGGGTGAGAATTTAGCAGTGTGTTTACCACTGTGAAACTCACGTTTGGAAATGGGACTAAACTCACAGTCCAGCCAGGTGAGTGGGGGCAAAAAAAAGTTTGAAGGCTTCGCATAAACTAATAGTGAAGGCTGGGGTTTTGCAAGGAGCCTAAGAGACTTAGGCACCCAGATCTAATTGAATTTCAAAGGGAATATGACACCTAAATCCTTAAAGTTCCTTTGAAAATCCCAGCTTTGGGGCAAGACAGTGACACCCTGATGTTCATGAATCCCTTACACCACAAGACGCCCCATTGATTTTAACAGGGCCATGCACAGACTAAGAAGCTTCTCAATGCGAGTAAAGTTCTCAGAACTTGGCCCCTAGATTCCAGAAGGTAATCCAGAAATTCACAGATTTCAGAGCACTTTCCAATCAGGTTTTTTGAAGAGCCTTCTCATACTGTGTGCGAAGTGCTGATTCTTTAATATTTGGGAAAGGCACCACTTTGGCTGTGGAACCAAGTAAGTGTTGTATGTTCATCTCTCTAAGTCTTTAGTCTGCACCTTTTTCCAGCATTAAATTCACTTTTTCTTTCAAAAGAGAGAGAGAAATAAAGGAACTATTCCTTCCCTGGTTGTTCTGGCGCTACAAAGAAGTACAAAGATAAACAGTGGGTTTTTTTTTCTTCATAAAAACGTTTCATTCCCATTGTTAATTCCATTTTTTCCTTTGCACTGGAGAAGAATGTTATCCAGGCTGAATAAATATAGTTGGCTGAAAATTTTTGACCAACGCTTTTAAAAATTGAAAATAAACATCTCCCCCCCAAAATCCATTATGTTCAAAACCTGTCCGCTGCTTTGAAAACATTCAGTTTTTTTCTAATTTTGAATGATACATTTAATCATTTTTTAAATTGAGATTTTGATTGACATTTTTCCTTTCCTGAAAACTGCATTGTTTGATGCTAGGAGTCATTTTTATAGCCCTTTTGATAATGTTATTGCTAAAACTTAAGAGACATCTTTGTGGGGGGAAAAGGAAGGGCATTTCCAAACCAGGAAAATGGAGACACATTTGAAACAAATGTCCCTGTTTCTACTGGCACGACTGAGGCCGAGAAGTAGTTACAATCCGCTGAATTTTCAGACTGAAGTGATCTGAGAGGCTTCCTTTAGAGTTGGGTTTAAGACAAACTGTGCAGTTATCTGCCTGGAGAGAAAGTGCTGGGCTTGGAAAGCCACCACTGTGACTTTTGGAAGTGGCGTTAAGCTTTTGGTTGAGCTCAGTAAGGAACAGCTAGGTGGTATTGTCTATAGTGTTTGATTCCCATTGCATAAGCCAAAGGGAGATGTAGCGTCTCCATTTCACTGGTGCAAATCAGGCTTCCTCTGAAGCCACTCTTAGAGCAGCCTCTTGAGTTCTATGTCTGGCCCTGCAGCACTGTGCGTGGGAGACCAGAGCTCTGACTTTTGGCAAAGGCACTAGGCTTTCTGTTGAGCCCGGTAAGTATCATTTCTGTTATCTTTGATATGTCAGTTGACTGCATTGCTACAGGTTCTCAGCTGGTGTAAACCAGCACAGCTCTGCCTACAGTGCAGCCACGCTGGTTCTAGGTCATCCAGGAGTTTGACCTGTTGTTTCCAGTGCCTAGATAATGGGGTATGCTGAGCCAGATCATCCCCTCCTAAATCCGGAGTGACGCCATTAACAGGAATTGTGTTGCCACGGTGGAAGTGCGGGGAGAGTCCGGCTTTAATGACTTTTGTGACTATCAGTGGAGATAGGAGGTTGGTTCGCACTCAGGTTCTGAGGGATCCGTTTGCACAGTCGGGTTTGTCTCACAGGGGCGGGCTGCCAGTCACTCTGCACAATACAGAGATCACGGTACGGGGCTGTCAATAGGATAGGCCAGGCCAGAGAAGAACTGTCTCATGTACCTGTTATTTTTATTGTAAGTTAAATTAACAAAATATCCTGGAGACCCAACACAACTGGAAAAGCAGCACATCTCTTAGCAGTGCAGAACTCGATCGCTATGGTGGGTGTTATTGCGCTCTAGCTGGTGTAAACTGAAAGATTTCCCATTGAACTTAGCGCTGCTGCTGATTTACACCGGGGGGGATTTGGCCCTTTGATAGAGTAGAGCTCTTAGGTCAGTTGACACCACCCCATTGAATCCCATTGATCTATGGCTGATTGACGCCAGCTGGTGTTTGGTCCCACTGACTCCAATGCAGCAACGTGGATTTATATCAGAGGCAACTTGTTTTTTCTTCATATTTACATAATTGTCAACATCTACTTCACACCTCAGAAAACCCTGGTGATGAGCAGTTAAATTCCAGGCACTGACAGTGCCCCTGTATCCCTCAGGCCACTCCACATTAACTAGGTTCTCTGGATATTCACGTTAATGAAACATTTTGAGACACCAGCATGAAGTGGTCTGATGAAACCAGATTTGCTTGCCTTTCAAGTGCCCAGAATAACACTTCGCCAGAGAGGGGTCTGTCCTTGGTTCACTCACAAGTGGGAAACGCATTTAAAAGCTGCAGTAAGAGTTGAACAATATGGTGATAGCTCTTAGTAGAATTGCAAACGCCTCTGAGGAACTCGGCAGCTGTAAATGACGAAAGGATTTTGGGTTTTGCCGCCGTTACTAGGAGTGGTACTTTCCTCCTGAAGTTGAGCCCTGGTTTCTGGCGCATTCCTTGTGGAGCCAGGAGTAAAAGAGAGCAGAGTCGGTCACCCAGGGACTGAACTTTCTTCCTTACCGTTATTGCGATGGTTCTGTGTTTTGGCCACATCAAGAAGCCGTGGGCCGCGCAGAACCTTCCCGCGGGTGCAGTTATCATTTCAGAGCAGGTGCCAAGAGACGCCAATGCAGGATTAAATTGTGCTGTTGAGTTTTATGCTATAGGTGTACGGAGTTTGCTAATTAAAGACTGAAGTTCTCATTCACACAGGAGAGGCTACTGATGCATGTGAGTTCTCACCAACGTAAGTGTTAAGGACATAGGGAACCTGGGAATTGGTTTGATATTCAGCTAAATGTCCACTCTTGAGTTTTCAGGCTGGGCTTTTGAGTGCACAACTCCTTTAGTCTCCTCCGAAAATCACAGCCATAGTTCCCATCTCTCTCCCCGTCTCTGTCTTCTGCAGTCCGTTCTGCGTCAGCACCTCTTGCTGATATTTTCAGCAAGGATTCCAGCTAGTGAAAGTTGCATCTAGAATTACGGTCTTTAAAAAATACCTCAGATGATGGTTTCTCCAATTACCATCCGCAGGGCCTGTATCAGAACCAGCAATTTGGACATGTAGCCTCTATATCCCATCACCATATCCAAAACTGAGGGGAAGGGATGGCCTTTCCATTGGTATATCTGACCCAGAGACGAGAGACTCCATATTCTATGACTTTATTCTATGACCCTTAACCTAATTCTCCCTCCCTTTAGAGTTTAATCTAATTAAATTATAACCATCAATTATTTGTTTTCAGAAAATCCAGGGACTTCCCGTCCATCCGTCTTTGTTGTGAAATCTGCAAAATCAAGCGATGGCCAAAAGTTGACGGCGGCTTGTTTAGCTAAGGATTTCTACCCCAAGGACATAGAAGTAAGCATGAGTCAAGAGAAAGACGTTGTATACAAATCGAAAGAAGGCATTCTCTCTTCAAATGGGAAATACAGCATGATCCAGGTGGTGAAGGTTGAACCGAATGAAGAAGTGAAGTGCTCTGTTAAACACGGCGAAGAATATATTAATCAAACGGAGCCTCAATCAGGTACAGTTATATGGCGCAAATGTGAATTTTATCATCGCTTTCAAGATGCACCTCATTTCATGGTGCGTCATCGTCCTGAATTCAAGGATCTCCATCCCTATCCAGAAATGTTCGATAGAACTTCTAATGGGAGCTAGGGGCCGGATGTCCAGTGGTGTTTCAGTGCCCAAAGACAGTGCCCAAATATTTTGTTCCAAAAGCACCTATGCAGTTCCTTCCTAACTCATTTAGGGCCAGATTTTTAATGGTACTTAGGCTCCCAGTGGGTGTTAGGCACTTAGATGTTTTTGAAAAGTCCAACTAGGTGCTTAAATCCCTTTAAAAATCTCACCCCCGGTGACATTTTAAACAGCATCTAGACGTCTAACACCCATTAATCACATAAGGCACCTGAATGCATCTTTAGTCACTTTTGTAAATCTAACCCTAGATGGGAAATGTGTCAAGCCCAATGTTTCTGTGTTGAAAAATGACCTTTTAAGAATATGAACAAATTTTCCCATTTAATGTTTCATGAATAATTGTGTGACATTTTAATCAAAGTTTTTAAGGAAACATTCTCGACAATATTATTGAAATGGTGATTAGAATTTTCAGTAATGTAAAGCTGGATTTTAGCTAAACAAAGAATTTTGAAAACTATTTGGATTATATTTTTGATTTAAAAAAGACCATGATAAAGTTTGAAAAAATAAACCATGGCTCAGTTTTGAACTTAGCAATGAAACTAACTTCAAAATGTAACTTTTTCTTGGTGAAACTAGCTTTACATTTTTCAGCCAGTGCTAGTTTATTTAATTAATTAATTTTATTTATTTATTTATAGTTGAAAATATTTCTATTATGACACAGATTTTCACAGCCACCTCATGGGTTTGGATGTTGAATTCTCATTTACTTAAGTGGGAATTGGGATTCCAAATCTTAGCCTTAACTTGTGACCCAACTTCCCATAAAGTCTCCTATTGACACCAGTGAGACTTGGATTAGGTGTTTAATGGAAAACGCACTTTGTTTCATCAAATTAATCAGGGCTTTTCAAATATTTTGTTTCAAAACCTTTTCTTGGTGGAAAATAGGATTTTTTTAAGCATGGATTTTTACAGAAAGTGTCGGCTTTTTGAGAATTTTTTTATTTTTAGTCAGAAAAAAAAAGATTTTTTTCCCCCAAAAGGCTTTTGTTTTGGGCTGGTTTTAGCTGAATTCCCCCCCTCCCCCCAGTTTTCAGCTAAACTTTTGGGCCAGAATTGTTTGGGTTTTGGTTGCTGAACACCAAAACACAACGGGTTTTTTTTGTTTTTTGTTTTTTGACAAAATGTTTACTTTTTCTGTGGGGGAAAAATAAAAAAAAATTATGACCAGTTCAAAAGTTAATTTCTACCTGATTTTCAAACATTTCCATTCACTCATTACTGGTTGCGGGGAGGTTGTATTTATCAGTTGTTTCATAATTGTTTTAATTGAGCTATATTTTCATTTTTCTCTTTTTCGACAGCTCCCATCCCGGCCCCAATCAATAACACTCAAGTGTGTGAATCTTCAAATTCCACTTTCGAAGGTTAGTTACCAAAAATAAAATGAAATATAATAAAGGGCCAGTGGGATTATGTTTGTTTGAGGGTGGGATTCAATGAGGATATTTGAAAATGGAATTTCTCCCTTGAAAAATAATGTTTAACGTTTGGCTATTTATGGAACACTGGCAGTTTGTAATTGCTCTTCCACACAGCAGTGCTGGGCACCAACAAACGTTATTCATGGGGCCCTACCAAATTCACGGCCGTGAAAAACACATCACGGACTGTGAAATCTGGTATCCCCGTGAAATCTGGTCTCACCCCTGACATCTGGTTAGTGTAGGGGAGGGGCAGGGCACGGCGCGCTTACCATGTGCCAGGCTCCAGATGCTAGCCCTGACTGGGCTCGGGAGGGACAGGACTTCCTTTGCTCCCACAGGGGCCACTCCCAGGGCTGAGTCAGACCCATCTCCGAGAAACTCCCATGGCTGCAGGAAGCTCCGGGGCTGCTGGTTGGGAGCCCAGCTCTGAAGGCAGCGCTGCCACCACCAGCAGTGCAGAACTGGAGGTGGCAATACCATGACCTCCCCTACAATTGCCTTGCAACACCCCCCCCCAGCCCACTTTTGGGTCGGGAGCCCCAGGGTTACAACACAGTGAAATGTCAGATTTTAAAAATTCTATGACTGTGAAATTGACGAAAATGGACGGTGAATTTGGGAGGGCCCTTGGTATGCATGGAGTCAGGTTGTCTGGAGTGGCTCACAACCATGAGGGCCTACCTCAGGGCAGACTGTCAAAAAGGGGGCAGACACCCCAAACTGGTGGTGTGTTGTATAATAAGATTTCACCAATTCAGTACCAAATGTGAACTCCTGGATCACCGTATCAGTCTTATTCTGGAGTCACAGACAGTCCCTTTTGATGCTCCAGTCTATCTTGTCACCCAGATAAATGGGACTTAGCCACTTACACCAAAAATCACACCACACTCAGGTTGCTTCCAGTCCCAAGAGACCAGTCACTTACCCCTAGAACAATTGGTGCCCTAGATCTTACACCAAAGAGAACGCCTGTAGAGAATCATATAATAAACTATCAAAAGGTTTATTAACTAGGAAAAAGGAATAAGAGAGTTTCCTACAGGCTAAAGGAAGCAAACATAGACACACCAATGAGTTACCGGCTAATCCTAAGGGTGGCAGAGTTGTAGTGATCTGTCAGTTCAATGTGTTTTCAGGGCAGACCAAGGCGGCAGAACTCTCTGCCCTTCAGATTTCAAACAGCTAAAAAGATGGAAAATTTTCCTGTGGACATGCTTTATTTCCTTCATTCAGCTTCCAAGCCCACATGACCGGCTTCCTTGCAAGTAGCAATAGGGCCACTATACAATCCTTTGTATTGCAATGGTTCTTGGTGGCCCATCTGAGTGTGGTGGTACATCTGGATGGGCAAGGGGGACGGGGGAGGGGAATGAGTCTTCTGCCTGAGATCGTAAGTTAAGAGCAAATATTGTTAAAGTTATAAAGCAAAACTTACATCTTTTCTACAACCATGGCAAGTGAGACTGATGCATTCAGCACCTTACAAGCATCTGAGAGAGTCTAAATCCTGGAGACATTCTTAGAAGACTAATACCTATTTTGAGCAAAACTAACAAATAGGTGACCTGGTCTTGTCTCCAGCTATGAGTTTGTCAGTTCTTAGCTAATGCCTGCAGCCTGGGCAAGAACTGGCATCTGGCCTGCCAGCGTCACACACGGGCCGAATACAAATGAAATCCACAGTCTGGATAAAATAAAGGAATGCTACCTTGCCTGTCTGTGCAAAGTGTCTCTGTCTTCTCTCGCTCTAGATTGCTGTATTTTTCTTTAATTATTTGTAATTGTTTCGTTCAATCTTGTGCTAACTCTCTCTCTTTCTAAAATGTCTCTTTGCCTTCTTTCTTTCTTTCTTTCTTTCTTTCTTTTCTATAATTTTTATTGAGGTGTTTCCCACTTTCTGCTGATATAAAACCATTTGATCCAAGGCATTCCCTCCCTCCTTTTTCCCCCCACAGAGCCAAACATGGAAAAAGTGAACATGCTGTCAGTGACTGTGCTGGGTCTGCGAGTTCTGCTTGCCAAAAGCATCGCCTTCAACATGCTCATGACGGTCAAGTTGTTCATTTTCTGAGGTAGGAACTCTTACTATCATAGTGTCCATTCCAGGGCTTGGAGGGTCATTGTTAGTGATTTTCAAAGGACTTTATGGGAGTTTTGGGATACAAAATCCCATTGAAAGCCAATGGGAGTCAATGGGCCAGATCTCCAGCTGGCATAATTCATCCGTAACTCCACTGGAATCGATGGACCAGATCCCCAACAGGTATAAATTGTCTGCACACCCACTGATTCCATTTGCGGATGCAGATTCTCAGCAGCCTTCAGAAAGGAGGGCCGTGGTCAGGCGCCCAGAATGAGAAGTTGCTTTTGGAAATGTTGGCCTACGATGTCCAAAGTCACACAGAAAGCCTGGGAATCCAGCACAGATCTCCTGAGTCAGAATCTGGGACATCAGCCATTACAGATCATCACCAGAGCGTAGACACCAGAGTGCTGGTCCTAGTGAAATGAACAGTGTCCAGAATGTCTAACCACAGATCTATCGTTTTCATAGGTTGTGACGAGTGAACCAGCAACGGGCTGAGGACAGGAGACAGGGACCAGTGTCAGCGACAGATTCCCAACTGGTATAAACCAGTGTAACGCTATTGGAGTGAGTTGGAACAAATCCCCAACTGGTGTGAATGGACTGTAGCGCCTTCGGAGTCAATGGGTCACATCCCCAACTGCTGTCAATCAGCGACTTCAATACGTCTATACCAATTATCACTTTCTCCAGATTTGTCCCCAGATCTTCTTTTCCAGGTTTTTTTATTCAATTTTTTCTGTTCCCCTTTCCCTTCATTGCTAGTTAGTTCTGACTCTTAACTGACGTATCACAAGATAGTAAGTACTTGTATTCTTCTTCAGTCTTCTGTTTAGTAGGAATATTTAGCGGGAAGTTTCCCTACCACAGTATTACACTGAGGCTTCCAAATCTCTTAGGCAGCTTTGCAAAATCTCAGTTTGATTTTTTTCACTATATAAAAATACTGTTTTATTGCTTAGAAAATCCATTCATAGCTGAAGCATTTTATCATTTTAGTGTAGAAAATTTGCACCAGGTCTGTCACTGGTATAAATTGGTACAACTCCATTGACTTCAACAGAGCTGTGCTGATATACACCAGCTGAGGATGTGGTGACATATGTATTCACATTATTTTTAATAGCTAGTAATTTCACCTTGGAGATCTGTGCATTTATATGGAACCGATGGTTGTAGCTTTCTGTGCTTACTACTGAAATAATAAAGGTGATTGTGTAAAAGGAAAGAACGACCTTTTCTTTTATCCTCTGTCTTCAGTGATTCTGAATTTATTCTCGTCATGGGTGAGTGGCTGGGTCTGAGCTAATCACCAAGGATTTTATTCAATGGCCACTGAAGTCCAGAAATCCAGGGGTTACAGCCATGAATTTATGTGAATTGAGTTAATCTGTCTGTGGAGTTGTTGCAAGAAAAACACTGCACAAAACTGCTCCCACTTTCATCACTAAGGGTGGGATTTTGAAAATTGCATTTTGTAGTTAGGCAAACAAAGTCCACTGAAGTCAATGGGGACTGTGCTCCTAATCCACGTAAACGCTTTTCACAATCCAATCATAGAGGTATCATGAAGAAAAAGTAACATTGTTAAAGTTTGGATTTTTCAAAGGGGCCTCAAAGAGTAAGGCACACCGCCCTCACACCCCTAGCTTTCAATAAGATTTGGGCATCTAATGCCTTAGGGCCCTTTGAAAATTCCAGCCAAAATATTCTGGATATTCTTCCATCCTACAAAAAGAGACACAGAGATGCACACCAAAATACATGTGGGTGCACGCACACGGGTGTGTATGGGGATAGTGTGTATGTGTGTGAGAGAGATGGGGGTGTGGGGGATAGGTAGGCAGAGATAGAGACAGAGATGGGGGTGTAGGGGGATAGAGAGATTGAAAATACAAAGTTCAGAAGAGAACATTTGCTATTTTTTCTGTTCACTGCTAACAGGAAGGCACTGGGAGGAAATAACTTTTGGTGGTTTGCCGGATGATACAGTTGCTACAGCAACCTAGACCAGAGGGTTATTTGTAGTCAAAATATACCCCCTCCCCCACATCCTTTCCCTGTACTGTGTCAGTTACTAGCAGGCGCCCAAACGAGGCCGGATGCTGCGGTGACAGCCGCTCAGCTAGTCACGCCGTGCAAAACATCAGCCTCACGCTCATTTCAGAAAAACATTGTAACCGCCGCCGTCTGTGATGGGATGTTTTTCTGACGCTGGCTCTGAGTCAGGGCTGACCCAGTGCGATGCTGAGCGGGGCTGGGCTGTAGGGTGAGCTGTGGGGCAGGGTCAAGGTCAAGGTCTCGGTCGTTAGCTCCAGGGGGCTTATGGCCCAGGAGACCGAAAGGAGCTGCAGCTCTGGAGTGAGGCCTGTGGTCCTCTGGCAAAGTGGAACCGTCTGTCATAAGGATGATCACACCGGTCCGTGCAGAAACCAGCGATTTCTCGGTGTCTGACCTGGGACTGGGGAATGAACTGCCACTGGAACTAAGGACCATCCCAAGCCTCACTCCCGTCCACTCCAAGCACAAGCTGCCCTTAACCCGCCTACCCGTCTGTACCCTGGACACAGAGCAGCACGAGCCATTTTCCAAATGCCCCCTCCCCCCAAAGCCCTACCAGAACACACTCCACCGCAGGCACACCTCTCCCCTCCGAGCGAGCAGGAGAGAGAAGAGAAAGCGCGTGTGACAGATGTTAGCCCCATTGTGCTGGGGTGCCCTGCTGCAGGGAATGATGTGGGGGGCTCAGTGGGGAGGGGGCTCCCCCAGAGTCAGTGCTGACCCCAGTGTGGCAATATGGGGTGCTGAGCGGCAGAAAACGAGCAGGTGACAGGGTGCTGGAGCAGCCATTTTTGAAAAAGGAAACTGAGACCCGGACCGCGTTGGCTCATTGACGATCTCATGTAAGATGCTGTAGCAGAGTGCGGCAGCCCCCCCCCCCCGGCTCCTGCCTCTGCTAGTTTCACAAAGTCACCCTGAGACCAGTCACCAGTGGTGCAGTGGGTTCACAGGCTTGTTCCCAGCACCGTTTCACCACATACAGTTGGCCCTTCACCGTCTGCAGGGAAGAGCTACCCCTCTGCTTCCAGCCCCTGCCTTTCCCCTTTCTTTCTGAGCCCCCCTTGGCTTCCTGCCTCTGAGGCCTTTATACAGCCCCAGGCGAATCAGGCGGCAGCTGTCTCTGCCTCCCCAAGTAGGGCCAGGTTACCTCCAGCCAGCTCTAATTTATTCCCCTAATTGGGACCTGGCGGGACAGAGGGCTGAATCAGCAACCCTTTGCCCAGCCCCCGTCACAGACCCTATTTATATAATTGCTTATGGTGTATTAAACACAATTCCTTTAGGGTAGTGAGTAAAGGTTGGATGCCCTGAGAGATCCCTTTTAGGTATCTCAGCCTTGGTTTATGATTTTTCACTTATTTATTAGGCAAGCACATTCCCTTCCACTGCAGGAATAGCAGGGTGAAAATCTGTGTCCTGTGTCAGGCAGGAGGTTTCGCTAGGAAATGCTTTGCCACACAGTGCACAATCTGCCTGCGGAACTCCTTGCCACAAGATTTCACCGAGGTCAAGAAATTAGCAGGACTGAAAAAAGCCCTGGGCACTTCTATGGATAATGAGAACACCCAGTATTACCATGACAAAGATTATAGCTTGAACAAGAGCTTTGGAAGGAATCGAAACCTTCCTTCTTCACGACATAGGCCGAATTCTAAGGGCTGGGCAACACACAGGGTTTGTTCCTCTATTACTATATTTGTTCTAAAATCCTTGTAGATTAATGGGAATAACCTATACTGACAAAAGCATCTTTACCCTGATATAACTGCATGCTCGGAAGTGGGTTGTATTGCTTTAGCTCTGCTGGCGTGTAGTGACAGAGGTACAGAAACTGCCTGCAACCTGTGTGTAAAGACAGGATGGCCCAATGGTTAGGACACTCGCCTAGGACTGGGAAACCTTAGTGAAAGTCCCTGTTCTGTCACAGACTTCCTGTGTGAGGCCTTGGGCAAGCCACTTAGCGCTCCGGTTTCAAAGGCATTTAGGCGCGTAACGCCCATTGAAATGTGAGGGTGTAGGAGATGTACTGCAAAGGAAGGGCCTTTCCGGAAGTTTTTGTACAGCGCTGCAGTCAGGCTGTGTCATAGTGGTTCTGATGGCACAGTAATAGGAAGCAGCATCCTCACTTCCCACAGGAGATATAACCAAGTGGAAGGTTTTTCCTGCTAAATCACGCTCCACAGCAAAGCGTCCCTTGGCAAAGTCAGCATCCCGGGACCGGGAGTTATCCCTGTGTAGAATGAACTGCAGGGTGTGGTCAGAGAGCTGACGGTACCAGTACAAATCAGGATTGGAATACGTAGTAGCATAATTGCAAAATATTTTCGCTTGGTTCCCAATCTCCGCCGTAAGAGCTGAGGGTGTCTGTGTTATTTGATTGCACAGAACACCTTTGCCTGTGAATATCAAGAAAGAAAACATGAGTTACAAAGAACTGTTTAGTTATAAAGAATGAATGCCACCTTAACACGGCAATGATGTCTGAAGAAGGTAACCTATTTTGCCACATTACTACAACCAATAGAAGGTGTAAACTCACTGAAAAAAACCATTGGCTTCTTTGTATGGAGTGTGGCTTGAAAGCTTGTCCCTCTCCCAAACAGAAGTTGATCTAATAAAATATATTACCTCACCCACTTTGTCTCTCTAATGAACTTCTTTATTAACTAGAATTAATAGGAAAGAAAGGGGGAGAAATATATACAGTAGCTAGAAAATAAGAGGAAACGAGAGAAAGAAAGAAAGAAAGAAAGAAAGAAAGAAAGAAAGAAAGAAAGAAA